ATTACGTGTCTTCACTGAACCTTGTGAGGCAAACATTCTAACACTACTGTTTTGTTTTCAGGTGAGAAATTTGAAGTACAGAACAAATTAAACGAAATGTTTTCGAGAAAGATAAATGAAACTAACAAATGGTAATCCAGCACTAGCATCATTGTATATTTGTATTGTCAGCAGATTTGGCTATGATGGAAAATCTTTGAAGATTCTTTCTCAACATGATTTTTGATATGCACATGCACTAATTTATTGTGGGTATATTCAACAGAGTAGAATTGCTGAGTCATAGGGGGTCTGTCCAGTGTTTGCTGACGTTACAAAATAATTAATGTAATTGTGCCAATTTACATATCTACCAACAATGTATGAAAGTTGTGATTACTCCATATCTCTACCAAAACATAAGAGTATATTTTCTTTCAATTAAAAGTTTAATTGAACTTAAAAATTAAATTAATATAATTAAAACTCCATTTTGGTACATATTATAATCCATGGATTACTTTTAAAAAATTAATTTTTTATTTGTTGCTGATGTATAAAATTTTTTCTTTAAAAAAATATTGGATGGGCGCAGTGGCTCATGATTGTAATCTCAGTGCTTTGGGAGGCAGAGGCAGGTGGATCACTAGAAGTCAGGAGTTCAAGACCAGGCTGACCAACATGGAGAAACCCCATCTCTACCAAAAATACAAAATTAGCTGGGTGTGGTGGCGCATGCCTGTAATTCCAACTACTCAGGAGGCTGAGGCAGGAAAATCGCTTGAACCCGGGAGGCAGAGGTTGCACTGAGCCAAGATCGTGCCATTGCACTCCAGCCTGGGCAACAAAGCAAAAAAAAAAAAAAAAAAAAAAAAAAAATTTTGACCTTTTCTGTGGTAAACTTGCCAAACTCATTTTTTAACTGTAATTTTTTTTTCTGTAAATACTATTGGGTAGTTCTACATATAATAATGTCATCTGTAAGTATTTAATCAAATGCCATTTTCCAAATATAAAGAATATTTCTAGTTTATTTTCATTGTATTTATTGATTTTAAGCTCAATTGTTTGATGATTAGAAAATATATTCTGTATAATTTTAGTCACGTGGGACATGTTGATACCTCCATGAAAACCCAGCATTTGGTAAATTCTTTTACATGTTTCATCCATGTGCCTGAAAAGAATAAATTTCATAGTTGTTGGATACATCATTTTATAACACATCAGGTAAATTTTGCTGATTTCAATGTTCAAATCGTATATTTCGTTGCTCTTTTTTTTTTTCTTTACGTATTTTGACAGTTGCTGGGAGAAATTTTGCATTAGTTTTCTATTGCTGTCATAAAAATTATCATAAATTTTGTGGCTTAAATTAATATAATTTACTGTCACACAGTTTGGTTAGTCAGAAGTCAGAGAGAGCTCTCACTAAACTAAAATCAAGATGTCTGTAGGACTGTATTTCTGTAGACTCTGAAAATGAATTCACTTCCAAGCCCATTCAGATTATTGACCGTATTTATTTATTTTTATGTTATTTATTTTTATTTTGTTTTATTAATTTTTATGTTATATATATTCTTGCTCCATTCATGTTCAAAACCAGCATAGTGGCTAAGTCCTTCTAAGTCTTAGATTGTCTTTGATCTCCCCTTAAGCCTCATCTTATCCAGTTCCTCTTCCCTTGCCTCTCTGTGACTCTAGCCAGAGAAAATTCTTTCCTTTTAAGGGCTCACATTGAGATTGGGCCTACCACAGTAATCCAGGATAATCTCCCTATGAACTTCCATAACCTTAATCGCATCTGCAAAGTTATTTTTGCCAGATAAGTGTGTAGATATCTTTGGGAGGCTTTAATTCAAATTATATGATCTTCCAAGCATCAATTTTCTCATTTCTAAAACAGGGATATTCCTTCCTTGTAAAGCTACTGTGAGGACTAAATAAGGTAATGTGCATAAAAAAAGAGATTACTACAGTGCTCAAAATACAGAAACAGCTCCATAAACAATGCATTTTAATTTATTTTAATATGCTATAGGTAACACATGCTTTAGAGGTTTTTATATTTCCTTTCTGTCTGCCTCAGGATGATAAAAATAAATTAATATTGACTGAAAAATTTGCTGTCAGTGAAAAGATCATTAAAATCCAAGACACATATAAGCTCTATATTAACGTGAGATAAATTCTTCACATGCTCAAGGAAACATTATGTCTGCCATGACTTGCTCTTGTTTACTTACATCAAAAGAAATGTTAGGGAGTGAGATACACCTCAAAAACCTAATATCACTGTCAAGAAAGATTTGCCTCCAAAAATTGCTTAAGAATGATCAGCAATTGTGTAATTTTTTCTTGAAACCAGGCAAACTATTTACTTAACAATACAATTGTTTAAAACTAATTGAGTCTTCACTTAAAAAGAGAAAAATACTTCAATGTCTTATGTCTTGCTCATGAGAAAGACATTTGAAATCTTGTTATAACCCGTGTTCGACATTTAGATAGAGGAACTAATAATGTTTTGGTGAATTCTTGACAAACTAATAGAAGAACATGTTTACATAGAGCATAAGAGGGTAGTATTTAATGCATTTATAAAAGTGCTGATTGTGATTATGATATAATACCATAAATGTAAATCATATTTATTTGTAAAATAAGGTACATGAAAGTAGTTATAATTTAGAATATTAGAATGTCTCTTGATAAGTAATGAAGGGATGATTGAACTAAGGAATTGAGTTTTATTCCCAACTCCATGGTCAATTTTGTAACCATCAATTTACACCACTGCTCCAGTTCTCAGATTTCTCATAGTGAATAAAAAGAGTGACTAATCAGGACTTTAATTGTGGAAGCTTCCTTTATAAATCTGTGATAATGCTTTATTATACCTGTCTTTTGCATTTTAATGAAGTGTGAAATATTTTGACATTCACAATCTATTAAACTGTGAATGATTTTTCTTGGAAAAACATTTAGATCTTTCTTAATTGTATAAACTTCATGTCTTATACCAAAAGGAGAAATAGTATGAAAAATATCTTGCAATCTTGCACAGAATAAAACTCATTTTATTTAATTTTATTATAAACACAGCATTGTAGATGGATGAGATAGGAATATCTATTTATACACATACACATATATATGTATGTGTGTATATAATTTTAATGCATCTTTCTAATACATGATTCATAATAGATAATTCATATCAACTAAACTAATAGATAATTCATAATTTATAATTCATTGAACTAAATTAAGTACTAGTACTATGGAAGAACTATTCAAATGAAAAATGAGAATAATAGCTAAATTTCTATTTTTTCTTTTGATGCAATTTCAAGGTTTAAATGCACTTTTTTTTTTTTTAAGAAAGTAAATATAGAGAGTATGGGCAAAATCAAAGGTGAAAAATATGATCATCAAGTACACACATTTGATATTATCAAACCACGGAAGAAATGACCATAATGTCAATGGGATAGGATTGCCTCAGTTACCTAAAGGGAAATGCACGTTCTGCACATGTATCCCAGAACTAGCAAATCTACTTACAGAATCTGTATATATATATATATGTATATGTATATGTGTATATATATATACAGATTATATGTATATGTATATATATACGTATCTGTATATATGTATATATGTATATATACGTATATATGTATATATATACGTATCTGTATATGTGTATATATATATACAGATTCTGTAAGTAGATTTGCTACCTAAGATAATTCACCTATCATTTTATGCCAAAATAAAGTTAGCACTCAACCGAACAAAGCAAATATAACTCAAAGGGTGTATTACAAAATAAGATCGTTTATATACAATTAAAACTAGTTACTTGGAAATTAATTAGCATCTGTCATTACAGTAGAAACTCGTTAAACAAAAGTGACTCAAAGAGGTGAAGCATTTATCGACCAGTAATTTGTCTTGTTAAATTTAAATAGGAGTTTATATTTTGTTTTTAAGTTATATAATCTAGAAAGTCTCAGATTATGAGGAATATAATTTCTTCAAACCTTTATGAACAGAAGAATGTGAAATAACTAAAAAATATTTTTAGTAATTTCAAAAAGAATGTAGAAGTTAAAGGCCCAAATGATCTGTTTAATTCACAAATTACAGTTCTCCTCCTATAAAGCAGGTATGTAAATGTTTAAGATTTTTAAAAATCTTGAAATGTAAAGATGGTCTGCTAAAATATGTACTATCACTTTAATATAATTCATTTTTTCATGTATCTATCATATACATAATAGGTCACATTTGAGGTACTCTAGACATATTTTGTAGCTGAATTAACTAAAAATAATTAAGAAAGTAACCACGGTTTAAAAAAACATAAAAGCGCTTCATTTATACATTTTAGCCAAAGGAGAAAATCAAACAAAGCAAAACAACAAACAAGCATGTCCTAAAAATGTTAAAATACTATCTTTAAATATAATTTTTCTAATTTGATCAGCAATTTTCTACATGAATTCAGTTGTGATTTATATTTATTTTTCAGATATTTCAGAACTTGATTTTAAAATACAGAAACTTTACATTTCTATTGCAATTCTATAACTTTACATTTATATAATTGCAGACATTTTCTTCCAGTATTTAATTAGTATGATCACCTCAGAAATACAAAGACAATGTATTTGTATTAGATAAATGCCTTAGGATAATAATAATAACTCTTGTTATGCTGAAATAAGCATGTACATGGATCTAGGCAATACATTTTCAAAGATGATGAAAAATAAAATATCTATTATTATAAATACATTAAATTATTTTTCCCATAGTTAAATGAATTCCTAAAATAACATCAGAAGTCATATATTTCTTCTGAGTACTATTTTTTTAAATGTTTTCCTGGTATTTCTAAACAGTTAAACTCATAATTTTAAAGGAATAATTTACAAACATTTATTGTATATAGTTAGATACATATATCAACAGAAAGGACAGAGAGAGAGTAAATAGAAACTGACCTCGTTTACTGTGGCATAGTAGCTTTCATGCTTGAAAGTGGGTGAGTTGTCATTCCTGTCTCTCACCACTATTCGCACTTCATGGTAGATAATCGTGCCCACTTTTTTGTTGATGCACTGGACCTGCACCACAATGGAGTGTATGTTCATCGGTGGCTGCAATGTAGAAATTACATCTTTAAAAATACTAATTAAAAACAAAGCTTCTCATCACTGTCAAAGCACTTGTTCATTCAGTACATTTTTCTATTCTTGTTTATTTTTAAGTTATAATAATCTAGAAGAAAATGATCATTTTCAGGACAAGAGAGGACAATCATAATTAATTTATTGTTTAATTTTGTATTTCAGTGTGTGGACTTCAGGTAGCATTATGCTCACTGTTAGTGGATGGCTAATGAATGCAACTACAAAATTAATGCTTAGAATTGATGGGATGAAATGAAGTTTGTCCCTCCAAAGATTGAAGAAGCAATAATATAAACTTTTACTTTGAAAAAAGTGTTAATACATTCCTGGAGAAGAGATATTGTTTAACTTTTATGTTTATTTATTTTTTTTATAAAATATTATATGTTCATTGCTGATCAAATTTAAAATACTGATTATCAAAAGAGAAAATCTAAAATCCAGCCAACTAAACTTACTCATTCTATACATTTAAATGCTTATTGTGCTAATCTTTTTCTTTCCCAAAATATGTACCTATTATAGACACACAGGCACACAGTGAATATCAGTCCATGTTTGTAAATATAGATTTACTATAGCATTTTTTGTATACTACTATGAAGTTATATTATGTGACAGTAACATTATACTTCATTGTAAGCCTATAGCATAATGTATCCAAGTAATATAGCATAATGTATCCAAGTAAAAATTTACAATGACCTATTACAGATTATATTTTGTCATTATAAACAATATTTCAATACATATTATACATAAGCATATGCTTGTCTAATAATTTTTATAATAAATTCCTTGAAGGGGAAAGGTATCATCAAAGGTATACTTCCTCAAGTCCCATGGCTAAGAGCTTTCAGAGCTGGAATGCACACCTACCACTATTTGACTCCAGAGTAAGAGTATTGAATACTACAAAACATTGCTTTGTGATTTTTAACCGCTTTTAAGCTTAAACAATTTTATCTCTAAATATATCATTTTTGCAGTGTCCTATCCTGACTCCTCCATCTTAAAAGCCTTGTCTCCAACCTGACCTCTCGTTTCAAATTTCTTCCAATTTATTTTTCTTTATTGCATTTCTCACCCAAAATTTGACTTATTATATACTTTATGTATGTGTTTTGGTTTGTCTGCCTTCACTAGATTGGCAGCTCAATAAAACCTGCGTGTTATTTTAGTCATGATGGTATCCCTCTTTCCAGTAACCAGCCCTGTGCCTAAGGCAGATGACCTGGAGTCAAACTGCGTGACTTCCAGTTCCATAACCTACTAACTGTATGATCCAGGATAAAGTACAAAGTATTTTTATGCTTCATTTATTCATCTATAAAATTAAGGCTAATCGTTACACCAATGAGGACTGTAAATACTGCATGTGATTAGACTATACTAGGCTTATGTTAAACACCTAATGGATTAAATACATATCCTATTTTATTTATTTAAAAAATAAATATCCAATACAGTGAAAAAATAAAATCAATAATGCATACCACATTTGTAAATGAGAAAAATGCCATAGAAACTATACGTACACTGGAGGAAATCATTATTTAGTTTCAAGATATTTTCATGGCCAACAAAGAAAAAGAAAGTTGACTTGAATTTGCATCTATATGAATGATGCTACCTAGAAAGAATAAATTGAGGCATCATTGACATATGAAAAGAGGCTTCTAATGAAATGACACATAGCCCTGTGTTTTCATATCTACTCAATTTCACCTTTAGTCACTGATATAAATGAAAGCATTAAAATTATGTGTATAAAATCTGTGAATGTCACAAATCTTGGAAAGATGTATAATACATTTAATGACAAAAGACATGGTTCAAAGTCATCTTAATAAGTCATAATAATGGGTTACAAAATGATAAACATTTACAGTAATAAATTTTATCCTCCAATTTGTAATAGAAAAAAAATCAATCACCCAAATGTAATAGATGGCTACAAACATTAATGTAAAAATTTAATTGTGAAACTTTGATAGCTAAAAGCTGATTTTACGTGCCAGCACTGTAAATGGGCTACTGGAACAATAATGCACACTGTATATTAATTAATACTATCAGGCATTAATAATATATAGGTAACTTATAACAGGTACCATTTTACAGGTGTATAGAAGAGACATTTGAACACTTTTGAGAATGTATAAAATTGGAGGATTTTAAATTTAACAACATATGATTTACCAGCTATCTAAATGGTTGTTATGGAAACATCCATTAGTTTATTTATTGTAGCTTTAGAGAGTAGAAATAAGAAAAATAGGTGAAAAATATTTCAAGGCATGTTTTCACCATAAGTAGAGGGCTTCTCTTAAGCCAAATTGGCACCAAATAATTATGTACCTGTATCAAAACATCTCATGCAACTCATAAATATATATACCTATTATGCACCCACAAAAGTTTTAAAAAACAACAAATAGAGCAGAGATTCTTATCAGTAGAAGAGTATAATTTATGTTAGAAATAAATTTGTACCTTCTCACTTCCAATTACTTTTCCTCTGCCATTATGAGCTAAGATATTTGTTATGCTTCAATTTTTTTTTCACATTTGTCTTTGTAAAAACCAAAGAAAAATCAGGAGGAAAACGTGACATAGAATAGAACAGACTATTCTATAAAACAAAACCAATCACTGAAATATGCCAGTTTGAAGATAAAAGACCATTGAAAAAGACTAGCTCTTAGAAGTTTCCTGGAAAGAATTTGAATTAGATGACCTCCATTTTTACTACCAGCTTTCAAGTGTTTGCTTTAATAGACTTTTTAAGGGAGGTCCAGCATATTTTAATTGTAAATTAAAAACAAAATAAATATGTGTACTATTTGCCCTTGGCACACCTCTTGGAAGACAATGAGGTGAATTACGCACTTTTAAAGTTATTTATCTTCCAATTATTGCAAGAGAGACCTATACAAACATTCTATCTCAACTTCTAATTCTACATGGAGTGGTACCACTGGGACCAAAAGGTCACAATCTTATCAAATAGAGGATCAAATGCACTGTGTACTGAAGCCTCACTTAGTCCTGCTAAGTACCCATAAATTAGATCTAACCAGGTCACCTGGAACTGTTGTCATTCTCAACTTTAGTTCCCTGTGCAACTGTTAGTAGCATGGCTAGAACTTAGAGGGCAATACATTATAACCATAATAGATCACACTGGAGGCAAAAATTCCCTGTGGCTAATATATAACACACAATGTAATTTTGTATTGGCATAGATTCGATTCTGCTGTATAAGAAGGTCATAAATAAAAGTACAGTCCTACTAAGTTGACTAGTGGGAGTTTAGGGACTCCAAAATGCTTAAGAATGTGTTAGGGAAATTTTGCTTTATCTTTCATAACTGGTGGCAAAAATAAGTCGTGGTAATTTGACCTTTTCTAATTTTCTTTAATTGCTGTATTCATCAAACAAAGAAGAAAAAACAGCTACGTAGAAATTGTGTTCATGTAATTATTTAAAACTATTAACATTCACATGTACTTAAACATGCAAGCTATTCTTTCAATTTAAAAATGAGTGCTTAACACAATACTCTGAATGCATACTTGCACATTTGTGTATTAGTGTACCTGTGTATAGGTTATGATACGTGTATCAGGAAAGATATATATCAACACTTAAAGGATACTATCATTAAAAAGTGGGTTTGAGAGTGTGAAGAAAAAAAAGATTCCCACAAAAATGTAAAAATTTTGTAATTCTAAAAAAGAAAAAATATTAAATAGAAATTTTTGTTATGAATTTATCAATCACTTAGGATTCAACATGAAAATTAAAGTTTTTATAGGGGATTTGTTGATATTAGCAGTGTAGATTATAGCACAAATCTTCAATCCAATATATTTTTTTTCTAGAAACCAAATGATTTGGAAGTCTTAATGATTTGGGGGGCAGGGAATGAATTTTTGGAAAATCTGTAGGAATTGACTTTGTTTTTCATAAAGTACAGGCAAAGTTTATCCAGTCCTCACGAGTGAATTTTTTTTGTTATGATATTTTTGTCTATGGACTTACTACCTTTATAACATAATCATTACTATTTCACAAGTAATGTGGAAGACAGTGAAAGGAAATAAGACATTGCATGTTTTAGAAATGATTTTTAAATAAAAAAGCAAACTTAAAGGAAATCGCTGGCCAGAGTTGTCAGTGTTCTTCACAAATTAAATTTTCACAACGAATAGTAGCATATTTACCAAAGATATTACCTAAAAAGATAATATCAATTTGAAAATACTATTACTCATATGTGACATGTAGATATACCTGTAGATTTTTCACAGTGAATTATTAAGGACATTCAGTGTATTTAGTGGTAGGTATTTGCTATATGAAAAATTTAATGTGGGTTAGGATTAATATGACATAGTCCTTGGACACTAATAGCAACTTTTATAAAACTGATACGAGGTGATCATACAAAAAGTCAGTCAAAAGTGCTATTAAATAATATGGATTTTAGAATAAGGAATTGCATACCAGTGTTATTAGGAAATAATTTATACAGAAACAGCGTTTAAGATATGTCTTAGTAGTACATAAAATTCAACTGATAGCACTGGATAACAGTGATTTCAAAGTTTATGTTCAAAAGAACATCAGGGAAGGCATGATAAGAAAAAATTGGATTGTGGTCATGGGACAATAATTAGATTAGTTTTCTTAGATTGTAGCTCGTATGTTTCTAAATAAAAAAGAAATTATATAGACAGGGTGCATCTTGAATCTAGGGAAACTCAAGAGCCAGATAGAAAACAGTTTGCACTGAAAAGGTATCTGCGGACACAGTCTCTGTTTCAGCACACTGAATGTAGACTAGGTTGAACCAAGATAAGTGGTAGAGAACAATTAGTTTATATGAGTGACAACTAAGAGGTCTTATACTAAAGTTGTGTTGATGGATGGAGATGCAAGATACAATGTCGAGATAAAACTACTAAACTTAGCAGTTAAATGGACACTGGCCTGGACAGAGAAGTCAGCTCTTTGTGCAGCTACCAAGTTAAGAGTCTGAAAGAAAAGAAGCTATTTGATGCTGTTATGAACATAATTTCTCTCGTTTCAAACGCTTTTAAAATTTTGCCCAGGATTTTGAGATAAGTATTATAGGACTGTACCAGAGTCATATTTTTCTTTCTGTTATTAATTATTGATATTGTCATGACCATTATTATCACATGCCCAACAGTGATGAGAGCATATCGGCCATGTGAGACAATCATCTGGCATTTCAAAATTTTTACGTGATGCGCCTTTATTACTGAGACTCTTCATGTTCACCCCAAATTTCACATTTTGGTTGTTTCTCTTTCATGACTTTTAATTTTGTGACTTTTCCTCTCTCTTTTTTTTTTTATTTGATTTTTGGGTGCTGAAAATTTATGTAACTTTAGTGAACAAAAAATAAAATAAGAAATAAAAATAAATGATGATCATAAGGGAAAATCTTATGAACCAAGTTTAAAATTATGAAACAGCTCATAGTCATACAATCTCATGTAAATGTTTTCTAATTAAATACAAATATTTGAGTGTTGGGTATTTTTGTGCTTTATATTCACCCTCAGAAATTTTCATGAAGATCGTGTTTATCAGTTTATTTTTAACACAATGTTAAAAATGTTTTTGTTTACATTGTTTGCTTTTAATTCTATTGCAGCTATAATTATTCAAACGTCGCCATTAAGAGATATTTTATTGCCTCAATGAGCACATGTAGAAAACATGATTTGGATCACTTTCTCTGGAAAATATATTTTTATCTAACTGCTGCTAAAAAGATAGTATGATCGGATATGCATCTACCACGTGGCTCTACCCCTTGCTCCCTGGCTATAGATTCAAGTCAATGAGTATTTAATTGTTATTTCTCTCAGAAATTTTAAAACAAAACAAAACACAGTGACTTTAAGCCATCTTTAATAACCACTGCATCAAAAGTTTATGAAAAACTGGCATGGCATGAACATAGAAAATACTTCAAATGAAAAACAAGGCAATGGATAAAATTGTAAGTGTATAAAGGAATCTGCTTTACAGAGAGAAGAATAGAGAATATACACAGAAAAATGGAGAAACTAGAGACCATATGGTCCAAGACCAAGCAGTTTTTCTCTCTCCCTGGTAAACATAGAATTCCCATAAAAGCAAATTATTTTTTTATATCTATGCTATTGGTATTCTTAATACTCTCTCCCATCAACTTGACATCATTTGAAGGCATTTTTGTGTCCTCCTTATAAGCCAAATAACTTTGATTAAAATCAGAATATTCTTAGAAAAGCATCATTTCATAACAAAGATTCAGTAGAAAATTTTCTATAAAAATAATTTTAAGAGCAATTTACCACTAAGAAGGATTAAAGTTAATTATAGGCTAGTGATTATAATACAGAGCTTTGGCCATTGTTAGTAGGGTCAAACTCAAATTGTTGGTTCTATTTTGTTATTCAGAGCATATATACATATATATATATAAATGGAATATGTATTATATATATTTGATACTGAATATATATATTTGTATGTATATATACACACATATATATATATGTGTGTGTGTGTGTGTGTGTATATATATATTTTTCTTTTCGAGACGGAGTCACATTCTGTCACCCAGGCTGGAGTGCAGTGGTATGCTCTTGGTTCACTGCAATCTCCACCTCCTGGGATCAAGTGATTCTTCTGCCTCAGTCTCTAGAGTAGCTGGGATTACAGGGTACCCACCACAATGCCTGGGTAATTTTTGTTTTTTTAGTAAAGACGGGTTTTCACCATGTTGGCCAGGCTGGTCTTGAACTCCTGACCTCAAGTGATCCACTGGCCTCGGCCTCCCAAAGTGCTGGGATTACAGGCATGAGCCGTCACACTCAGCCCATATTTTTTTATTTTGATTCATTATATTCATAAAACAACCCAAAAACTTCGGGCAACAACCAAAAGAATTACATTTCAGATAAATGCCCTATATTTTAAAAGAAACTACAAATATTTTGGTATTTATCATAATAATATAATTATCTAATAATAATGTATATTTTATCTGTATTTAGCTTTTGGGAAAAACATTTTATATTAAATAAAATTTAAAACAATGCAAATAAATGTATAGAGTTACATGTATTTATATTATAGTATTAGTATGTATTTCATTAACACTGGAGAGCATATTTACAAATGCAATCTATATAAAAAGTGTGCACTCACATTTTTTTCAAATGAATACCTTATCTTTGTAGAAAATATTGTTAACTAGGATCATAGAGAAGCATACAGAAGAAAAAATATCTTATTCTATATCAATGTAAATAATGTTAAAACAATAAAGTAAAAACAGAAAACACCTCTCCAAGTAGACTAAAATTATTTCAAATATTTATATTATATTATTATTTTATTTCAGGCATTACAACTATTTAGCAATATTGGTATCAAAGCATATAGGTATAATATATAGGGAGGACCATTTAGTAAAATGCATATAACTCCCTATCCCAGTAATATAATGATGGTAAATAAATTTATCTCTATAAAATTACCAAACAATTGTACAAAATGCATGTACAAAAATTTTCACTGCAGCATTTTTGTAATTATTAAAAACTGCAAACAAACTTGACATGCAAAATAAGAGATTCATTTTTAAAAATCTCTGATTTATTCATCCAATAACCAAATTGCAGCTAATAAAAATAATTATATAAGTATACATTTGTTTGCATTATAATTTTACATGGTATTATAAATTTCATTTTAAAAGTAGGCTAAAAGCATAATGAACAGTATAATCCAATTTAAATTAATAAGTATTATAAATATACATACCAATACACATAAATGCTTGAAATAAAATGTGGCAGAATAAATATTAAATGTTATTTTTCCTAACTGATAAAATTACCTTCATATATATGCTTCTTAATTTCTGATATATTTACCATAAGCATATATTATTTTACAATTAAATGAGACTGCAATTTCCAGTGATGATTAGATTTGGACGAAAAGCCCGGATTTACCTCACTATTTGTCTAGCAGTAATGGTCTATACATCACATAAAGCAGATGGACCCTGGGTTAAGGATATTCAGAATAAAAGCCCTTATGCTTTGATGAATGAACCCCTGAAAGCACTGTGGCAGCAGGAAAACATAATTCACAAGAATTCAAAAAATTCATAGGTAATAAAGTACATAGTAAACTGTACTAAAATAAAAGGCAAATTGAGATTTATTAAAGACTCCAAATTTTAACATGAAATAGTATAAAGTATCAAGCACTCCATAACCTATTGTAAAGTGGATCATAAACCCTGCACAATGATGCGAAATGACTCAGGCTCACTAAGCTGAGTATCTGACATTTGGATTTCATAAGCTGGGAACTTGTGGGTAAGCATGTTTAGAGTTACTCTCTGAGTTTTCCCAGGGTCCAGTACAATTACTGGTTATAATCCACTATCCCCTGCCCCTCTGCACTCAAGAAAGACTGAGATGCAAATAAATGAGTACAGAGTTACTTTAGACCTCTACTTAAACCTGTTAAACTGTTTTTTAAAAAAACTTTTCCAGAAATGAAACCTCCAGCAACTTTGGTAATTTTGCAATTTTTTTTGAGGTAGCGTCTTGCTGTGCTGCCCAGGCTGGAGTGCATTGGTGTGATCATGGTTCACTGTAGCTTCCACTCCCTACCCCAAGCTCAAGTGATCCTCCCACCTCAGTCTGCAGATTAGTGGGGCTACAGGCACGTGTCACAATGCCTGGCTAGTTTTTAAATTTTTTGTCAAGACAGAGTCTTACTGTGTTGCCCAGGCTGGAATCAAACTCCTGGGCTCAAGCAGTTCTCCCAACTGGGCCTCCCAAAGTGCTGGGATTACAGGTATGAGCTACCACTGTACCAACCCCAATATAGATATTCTTAATAAAAAAGTATTTATGCTATCTGACAATTACTTAACTGACATATTGCCATGAAACTTTTGCTCATTTTTTTTTTCTTTTTTGCAGCTATGTAAGACATTTCCACTGTTTTGCCCTTCAACCAAGGCTTACTGGTTGTAAAGCAGTCTCCCGTGAGTGCACCTACCAAACTATGTCTTCAAGCCAACAGCTGAGTGACACACTTATATGTTGCCATCGTTGGACAAAAATGAGCTATAGCCATGCTTGTCCTACTTTGCCAAGGGTTCCACCTCTTTTTTCTAAGCACTCTATTTTCTTCTTGTTCAGAAATTGACAAGCTTCCAGGATATTAAATCAGAAGTATAATGGTTCTCTAAGACACAGATGTTCCTTTCTCATACTTCTTTCAATGAGTTAAATAAACTGTTATTGATATACTGAGGAAATAAACTCAAATTATATAAATAATTCAATATCATATAAACACACACATAGACATTTAAATTATAATAAACTTATATCACAGGGGCAAAGAAAAAAAAAATTCACTAACATCTCTATCCAGAACTCTCCCGGTGCTGTTCAGGAAAAGCATTTGCTTAACAGGATCCATCAACACCCAGTAATCCACATTGTCCTTTAAAGAAAGTTCTATGGTGGGGTCTGGACCTCCAGCAGTCCCTTTGATCAGCATGTTGTCCACCAGAATTGTACCTGCAAACCAAAGAAAGTTATTTGAAAACATATTCTACTCATATGGATTCTTCGGCAAAGATCATGCTCTTAAACTGTGGCTGACTCACAATCAGTTTTAAAGCAGAAAATACTCAACTGTATATCTAACATACGACAGAAAATATTCTTTGCCAAAAGGCCAAAATATGTGCATTATATTATTTATAAATAATATTTTTGGTGGAAGGCAGAGATTCTGGCATGGTGAGTTCCGTCATCCATTTTGTGTTTCCCTCTAACAGCATAAATCTGTTTCCCCCTATCTGTCATTTCTCACAGGAGTTATCATTGAATTTTATCCTGAAGAAAAGGAAACACCTGTAATAGCAGAGTCTGATGCCTCAATTAATTCTATGAGACCTCTGCTGTGAAAAAAAGATATGGTGAAACAAAGAAAGGAAGAAGAAAGTACAGATTTTTTAAAAGTAGCTGAGTCTTCCATGGTGAGAACTGCCTTTTATCTTAGAGCAGATACATAAAACATAAATCTTGATATGAAAGACAAAACTAGTGTTCAGAAATGCAATAGAAGCCATTCTTCTTTGACATGTCTGGGTCGCTCCACTAGAACAATGCACTATGCCAATGTAACATTTCAGTGCTTGATTTCTGATTATTTTTTTCAGCAAGCTGAATTGTAGACAGTTTTTGAATAAGACTTGAAAAGATTATGTCTCTAACCCTTTCTACTCTGTTAAAGATCCCATGCATTTTACATGTTGAATGCAAACAGCACTGATGCAACTCAAATACCATTTTTCCCTCACACAGCAATGATCTCTTTGCCAAATAATAATATACCATGGCTTAGAGCAATCATTTTCAACTGATCCATTTTATTAAACTTACAGATATAGAAGAGATGTGGCTATGCAAATAAAATGTAGCCTCCAAAAAACACTAGAATAAGTGGCAAATATTGAGAGAAGCCATTGTCTTAGGATAGCACTCAGGAATATATAGAGAATCCATAAATATGAATCTAGCTTGAAAAATACACTGAAAAATGTGTCTGTTGCATTTTCTTAAGGCATTAAATTGGCCTGTTATACCATTGCATAATTACAAGAAAAGTGGAAGTCTCTTTAAAATATTTTCTCAGTAACATAATAAGAGCTATAATTATCTATAATACTTCTTTATCATACTATTACTACAGGTCTTTATCTGTCTAAGAAATGTTGGAAAGAATCATTAATATTTTGTAACAAGCCAAAATAATGTTTAAACACAAATGTTGTCTCACATACACATACTTTTGTAAATGGCAAGATTTGTTTTCCACTTTTTCACATACTAGGATTTAATTATATGAATATTGAGTGGAATGAGTATTTTTATTTTTGACTGAAATGGCAAATACATAACCTACACACAATACACTCCAAAGTATAGATCAGATATCTGCCTATAAATATGTTCAAGAATGTATATATATTCAAGGCCCCAGTACATACTAATTTACAAATACTCACACAACTCATCACAAAAAGATATTTGATTTACATTTCAATATATAATTGAGAAATTGAAAGGTAATTTATTTTCTGATCAAGAAAAATTTATGTACAATAGGCAGGTCAATTAACATTAACATTAATACCTTGATTCAATAGTGTTTAAGAGTAGCAACTGCAAATCTTCTGATATTTTATATATATATATACACTTCACGATACACTAAGGGAAGGAGCCATTGAACTCTGTTTACAAAGCAAATAGGTTATAACCAGATAAAGTTTTAATAGTTAGTAACTAATATTAAAGTAGTGAAACAAAAACACTATCTGGATTTATATTTTATTTAATGATTCTAATTTTCATGGAAAACGTCTATACTTTTCTTGCTCTCAGCTCACTCCTGAGTTCAATGATTGAAACTCAACAATAAATCTTTCTACTGCTGGTGTGTTGAAAAAGAAAGAGTTTGGTTTGTTTGCCTGCTTTCCCCTTTAGAATTGTCCATTTGTATTGCCAGAAAGAAAAAAAAAGCGTCTCAAATGTTCATATACCATCTTGCTTTAAGTCAAAAGTTTAGGGGAGAGAGAGAAGAGAGCAAAGCTTAGGCAGACATGATACAAGGAGCAATATACATATTTAAAAAAAATTAACCTAGGTGTTCACTCTGAATTGCCTGAACAACTGCGCCCATACCCCTCTCCTCGGAAGAATATGTGACACCCAAGCTAAAGTTAACATTGAGCCAGAAGCTCCTGGCCCTCCCTACCCCATCCCAGCATTGGTGACTGTATCTTTCCACACATCCTAAGATTTCGAGATCTGAAAAGCTAGTGTTCTAGACAATACTGGCAAGCAGCTAAACACCAGAATACTCTGGCTATATTGGGATAATGTGCCCGCTTTCCTCCTTCGTTACTTTGCAAGCTTCCCTTTTTGCCAATAAACCTTTTGCTTAACATGTTTCATGTGATGTTTAGATGTATTCCCTTCCTTGACTTCATTTTAAATATTACAGATAAGTTAAAAATACAAAGATGGGAGGCACGACACAACACTAAATAAGAAAGCTGGATGGTTCTATTAATATCAGCTAGAACGAGCATGTTTAGCAGTGGTAAAGAGACATATTTAATTATAATAAAGGGATCAACAGGTGTAAATCCTGAATAGGCCTGTCTTGCGGAATAGGTAATACCCAAGATGGGATTCACCTTATATGAAATTTTCCTTTCATCATAATAAAAATGGTGGCAGCCCAGAAAATGGAATTAATTTAGTTTGATACTCATATAATGAAAGTTAAGAGAGCTGGCCCTGGAATGGATAGTCTTAGAATCCAATCCATAATCCACCACTTACTGACTATGTGAAAGTGGATAGATTACTTAACCACATTTACCTTCGATTTTTCTCCTCTATAAAATCAGTACTATAATAGAAAAGGCATTTCTACTATAATACTATATGTATGTTCTTGAAAAAGACTTGTTCTCTTGTATTTAGAACACTAATGAAAATGAAAACAATCACAATCATGTTAAAAATATTAAGTTAAATATTTATTGATATTTTCAACACATTTCTTGGCCAGTCAGTCTTTTACAGCCTTAAATATTGGGATTTGTGCTTCTTCCTTCAAGAAGTAGGTATTGAGGGCCATTTACCTCTAGGGACGTTTTTTTATAAAAATGGAAAACTTCATGTTTCATTTAGCCTCTTTATTAGCCTATTAATTCAGATAATTTTGCAGCTTCTTTTTATGTACTTCCTGATTCTCCAGAGAGATTAACATATTATAAATTACAGGAGTTCATGTAACTGCTAATATAGACTCTACTTGTACGGAATAAATGTTCTTCAATAGATTTTCCATTTTTTCTTTAGATCTTCTTACATAGCTAGTCCTTTCTTTTTAATTGTGAAAGAAAGCTTATCCAGACTATATCAAAGCATAAATAACAAATGTATGAATAAACTTAAGTAACTAGAAAATAACTTATAAATTAATAAACTTTCCTCATTATACCAACTTTATTCTTCTATTTACCAGTGTGTATAATGTAATTTACATCAAAGAAGAGCCTACTGGTTTGCTCTGATGATTAAATTAGATAATATATATGAAATGCTGACTACAGTTCCTGGCACAAGTAAGAATTTCTAAAATGAAAACTGTGGTTATTGTTGCTGATGTTAATAATGCCATTTTGGAAGGAAATCATTTTTGGCTAAAAATAACTTATTTCATGTCACAGAAGCCTTACAAACCAAGTCTATTCTTCATTTCACAAAGCTAGGGTTAAGTTTGTTCAACACATTAGTGTAGTAAGCAGTCTGAAAGAATTTAGATGAATTCAAAAGACTTAAATCCACAGTAATCAATATTAGAAGTCAAGAGGTAAGAGGGAATGCCTCTTTGAGACACAACTGTAAAGAAGTCCCCATGCCTCTAATGGACAATTCTTTTTTTTTTTCTTTTTTTTTTTTGAGGCGGAGTCTCACTCTGTAGCCCAGGCTGGAGTGCAGTGACGCGATCTCGGCTCACTGCAAGCTCTGCCTCCCGGGTTCACGCCATTCTCCTGCCTCAGCCTCCCGAGTAGTTGGGACTACAGGCGCCCGCCACCTCGCCCGGCTAATTTTTTGTATTTTTTAGTAGAGATGGGGTTTCACCGTGTTAGCCAGGATGGTCTCGATCTCCTGACCTCGTGATCCGCCCGCCTCGGCCTCCCAAAGTGCAGGGATTACAGGCGTGAGCCACCGCGCCCAGCCATGAACCGTTCTTTCTACGCTATATTTCAACTGATAGGCAAACCATCGAGGCCTGCTATCACCAGACTGACCACCACTCTTCCCACTTTCTTATCTCAGTCTTGTATTTTCTCATAGAAACTAATTAGTTTCAAAGGCAGGAAAAAGCCTTATTCAATAAATTCATACTAGTAGCGATCTTTATATAGAAAACTTTTCCTCATCCTCAGTACAGTGCTTGGTTTTATTAGGAAATATACACACGTAACACACACACGTACATGTACAGTTGGCTCTCCATATCCATGAGATTCTAATCCATGGATGCAATCGATCAGGGATCAAATATATTTAGGAAGGTAGTAGATAGTTGTATCTTTACTAAACATTTACAGACTTTTTCTCATTATTTCTAAATAATACAGTATAACAACTACTTTCATAGCATTTACATTGTATTTGGTATTACAAGTAATCTATAGATGATTTAAAGCCTAGTCATAAAGGTTGCTTAATGATAGAAATAAATCCTAAGAAATGTGTCTTTAGGCAATTTTGTCATGGTACAAACATCATAGAGTATATTTACATAAACCTAGATGTATATCCTACTACACACCTACTCTATACGGTGTAGCATATTGCTCTTAGGCTACAAACCTGTACACCATGTTACTGGACTGAATATTATAGGCAATTGTAACAGAATGGTATTTGTACATGTAAACATATTTAAAAACAGAAAACATACAATAAAATATAGTATTATA